TTGTAGCCTAATGCTCTACCCACACGGAGAATGAAAACAAACTGTTGTTAAAAAGCACAGCTAATGGCTACTGACACAGAACTTGCTACTGCAGTGAGATTTCAGTTTGTTTTCTGAAGACAGCAGCTGGCTCTGTGAATCAGAACTACAGACGTTTTGAGTCTTAGGCACAATTTACAAAAGCAAGGTTAGGGAGAGATTCCTGGGGAGAATGGTTGTTTTGAACTGAGAAGGGATGATTGCAGGTGTTGCTGAGATGATGCTAGAACTTGGACTGATAGGGACTTGTTTTTGTGGTCAGCAGTAAGATGGAGATATTTCTACTGTAAACTAATGACCAGATGAACAAGTGGTTCTCTGAAAAGCTTAGCAACAAGCCACTTAAGTGCCTCATACGTGACCACAGTTATGATTCCAATATTCCAATGATTCCACCACCGGAAATTTAAATTTACACTTTTCTGGGGAACAGAAATGTGACTTTTTTACTGAGAAATTACTGTGGTTCTATGCATTCAAAACATTATCAATTTCTTACCAAAAACAAAACTTGTCTAGCTGGTTCTCTATGGAGGCTGACTTACATGGAAAAAAACAACCAAACAAAACAAACAGCACTTTACCGAAAAAGGCATCATGTCAGTTTGACCCAGCTTTTTTTTGACCCAGCTTTTATCTAATAGCTGATTCAATCAGCTATTAGATAAAAGTGCCAAAAAGCCCTGCTGAAGCGCTTGATCTATACAGATGATGGGGAGCTGCATCAAATTAATATGATGCCTCTTCTGGACATGGACTGTGCTCAGCGTGGGGGAACACCAAGCTGAAAGTAAAGCGTTGGTTTTTTCTTCCATGTCTGTAAGCAGCCTTTGTGTCCTGTTACAGAAAAATGGGTAAAAAAGCAACTATGACTTTTAAACCTGAAAATTTTTTTCTGAAGATTTTGGTCGGTTAAACCAGAGCTGTCAGGTCATGAACTTAAAAGGTTTTCTTTAAATCTTACCAAAATGCCCAAGGAGATAAGAGCCAAATATTTAATATTTCTATTTACTTTATTTACCTACCTACCTGTTGAAGACACTTTTGTAATTAATGTTCAAAGTCTGACATTCTGCTCCCAAAATATATATTGTTCAAAGATGTCAACCACTGATGCACTGAAAGTTTATTTGAAAAAAAGTTTAAAAAGTTCGACACTTTGAACCTATTTATTTGAGTGGTAACAGATAATCTATGGAGAAATAAGCAAACGAACGCTTACATTTCTGCAAATCATAGATAAGAAAATCATTAAATACTGCCCCCTGCCCCAATTCAAGTATTCAATAACTGTGCAATAGCTGGGACAATCAATAACTTATCCTTTATGATGATAACAAAAAACAGGATAACAAAAAACATTTGGCTATGATGGGGGACAGCATCAGCTTAAAGTGATATTATTACTTTTTCAGGGTACAAAAAGAATGAGCACATCTGGTTTGCAAGAGATGGGCTCAAAATCTTTTGAGTCTCTAAACTGTAAGCTCAAGGTTAAACAGACAAAGCAAAGGAGTGCTCCAACTGTCTTTAAAGAGGTGGGGAAGAGGAGGGAGGGACAAGAGAGAGAGACAACATACCACAGTGAAGGGCAAATGACATGTCAAAGAACTAAAAAGGTTGGTTCCTAAGCAACCTGAATCAATCAAAATGGGATCAAATGCTCAAGGGCAGCTAAGTCACCACATGAACCAGAGGAGACTGGTATCAAAAATAAAATGACTGGTATCAAAATAAAGATGAGAGCAAAGAACTACCTGGAAGATGCATGCTAGTTCCAGAGTGCGGAGAAGCGCTAGGCCTAAGAATGATGCATAAGTATATGTGACATCTTTCCACAAAAGAAAAGAACCCATTAAGTTAGATAATCATCTTTATTTAAATGGCACTGATCACTGTAGTATCTGAATACATGCCGTGCACTTTGAAAACTTTTTATAGGAGTGTGTGTGTGTATATATATATATATATATATATATATATATATATATATATTTACAAGTTTTATGTTAAATTACTGTCCATTTAAGTGTGTTTTAAAATTTTCTTAACAAGAGTTGCTAGTTATTATATTTTCTTACATACAACAACATGGCCCTGAACAAGACATGCACTTTGTTAAAAGGTAAAATAAAGGGGAGGGAGCCTTCCTTTGTACATACTGGTAAGTACATTATTAGGGGGCAGGGCAGGGAGGTGGCAGAATAGAGGCAGCTGTACTAGAGAGGAAGAAAAATGTTGTGGCTGCCCTGTTAACCTTCTAGTTGAGCCAAACTATTCACCTCCCTCTTTTCTTCTTGAGCTGAGCTAGGTGGGCAGCTAGCAGCACCTTCTAGGTCTGCTGAAGACCCAATCCTAGCCAAGAGCTAAATCACCTGGAAGCCTACCAAACTGATTCAGCGGGAACTGCCCAGCCCCCAGGGCTCAGCTCCATTTTAGAAATACAACAGAAGCTCCTGCTGAGTCCTTAGTGGCTTCTGCAGCATAAGTATCTGCTTGGAGGGGGTGGGGGAAAAGAGAAAGTAGCCACAGTCAGCACCTAGGGAGCCTTGCACCCTCACTGTGCTTGCCCCTTATGCAGCGCTATTTCCTCTTTCCCCTGGTAGAGGCTCCTGTGGCAGAAGCTGATATCACAGCATCTTAAAACATGCACCCCAATTTCCAGCAGCTGATTTTTGGAAAAAAAAAAAAAAAAGGTGTGTGTTGTACACAAGAAAATATGGAATTAAATAAAGGTTATAATTAGCATTTTGCAGGGGAACAGATTAAATAACCTAAAGGAAGGACAAAGACTGGTTCTCTTAAGCCTAAGGTATCATACCTATAATAGGAGACTCCCTAATAGCCTTAAACATGAATATCCCAAAATTTACCTAAGGGAGCAGTTCAGAGAAAACTTGGTGAAAACAGGCTGGAAGGGGCAGAGGAAGCAGCTCACAAGTAAATGCAAGTCTGCTGTTTGCAAGTGGGTAGTCTAGATTTCCAATACTTCTGAGAAATGTAGAATTTCATCACTGCTTTCACTGCAGAGGAAAAATTAATCAACTCATCAGCACCGAAAACAGATATGCCTACACATTACCAAAGTCCCCTCTACTGGTAACACAGAAATCTTTAAAGATGTATGTTCAAGTTATTCAGGTAATTCCATAAGCCACCTTTTTGTTAGTTATATACAATATATTCACCTTTTACTTTTAAGTTGTTTTAATTCAGTATATTTATTTTCTTAAAAGTATTTAACTATTGTAACATAAGAAAAAATAAAGTCTCTTTTTAAAAGACTTGTTTAAATCAAACAATCACAAAATATTCTTCCCTTATCACAGCACAGGTTCAGGATTCTGTGGAGTCCCTCATGACCCAATCCAGAGCCAACAAGAGACCATCATGTCACTCGCATCATTTTGGCCAAGACACAAGAGGGAAATTTGCTTGACAGAAGTTAATAAAAAAAGTGCTTCAGGTCAAATGTGGCAGGAAAAAAATGTTAACCCCCTTTTTCTGGAATATGCCATTATTCAAAAGTCCCTGAAGATCAGCCAGTCACTTCTCAGTACTACTTTTGTTATAAATGAGAAAGTCAGAAATGTCATGCCATACATTACTGTCATCATATAGGTAAGTCATGGAGGACTGAAGTGAAGGCTGTAGTGTGTGTCGGTGATATTCAAAGAGCCAAAGAATGGTCCCCCAGATGAGAGCAGCAGTGAGGGGGAATGGGTCCCGCTTTGGTTCTGGGATATAACCCTTCTCCACTGCCAGGCGGGAAAAGGCAAACAGGGTGCGAGACAGCAAGTACATGATAATCTGCACAAAGGAAAATGCAAGGAAAGTTAGGTAAGTAACATGGCTAACAACCCTGACCATATTAAGAGACTGGAAAGTTACAACCATGGAATATACAGGGCCAAACATCTTACCATGTTTGTTCTTGACTCTGGCTTACTATGTCAAATTGCCTTTGGTGTCACAATACTAGTTGTTTGTACCTTCCTCATGTGCTTACTAATTCAGTACTCTAATTCAGTTGAGTAAGAGACTGCACATGATACAGCATATACTGGAAGATCAGTTTGCAACTCTATTCTGTCCCAAATAGTAGTACTAGAAATAGATGCTGCTGTTAGTAACATGTTTCACAAACTAGAATTAGCTTATTTAGTGTTTGGTCAGTTGGCTTTGCAACTTAATTAAAAAGGACGCAGATAAATCGGTACAATGTCCTGTAGGAGCATACTTAGATCAAGTTCACATTAATTATACAGATGTTAACACACACTAGGACACAGCAAATAAGTGAGACAGCTGGGAACACAAGCCAGGTCTTCTGGCTCCTAATGATGTGCATCCTATCCACTAAACAAAGATTCTTCTCTATCAGACTCTGAAGCTAAACTGATTTAAAAGTGTAGTGTGTTCATATACCCGGCAGAACACTGGGGGTGAGGGGCAGGGTGGGACAGTGGGGCTTTGCAGTATGAAGAACCACTAACAATATATTTAAAAACAACATTTTTTAAAATGTAAATTCTAGTCAATGCTACATGCATGTTTTAGGGGTGTAGGTTATAGCCGTGTTGGTCTAAGGACATAGGTAGACAAGGTTCTTTGGGTGAATCTGATATCTTTTATTAGACCAACTAAATAGTTGGAGAACAATTTTTAAGCAAGCTTTTGGGTTCAAAAACCCTTCATCAAGCTAAGGAAGTTTCAGCAGTTGATGTGTGCTCTTCCTGGATGGAAGTTTGCTTCCTCGCCAACCTCATCACCAGAAGCAAACTTCCTCAGACCCAGAACACACCAAATGGATCCAGACCGTGCCATGACAAGAAATGCAAAACCTGCCAACACATCTCCACCACCCCCACAATCACTACACCCCACAACAGAGCCATCAGCATTCCTGGATCCCTGGATCTTACAGCTGCACCTCCAGAAAATAATATATCTTATCCAATGCACCAAATGCCCAGATGGAAAATACGTAGGAGAGACCAAACAACAACTGTGCACCAGAATGAATGCACACTAGAAATCTATCAAAGACAGGAATACCCACTTACCTGTGGGGGCACATTTCTCACAAGAAAACCACTCTCTCTCCAATCTCTCAGTCCTGATCCTCAAAGAAAACTTACAAAACACTTCCCAGAGACGAGCCTATGAACTCCACTTCATCAACCTCCTGGATACTAAAAATCATGGACTAAATATAGACATTGGATTTATGACACATTATAACCTGCCTGATAGCTGACTTCCCAGGTAGTTCTCCACTATTCATCTCTCTTCTCTCCCTCACACCCAGCCAGTCTCTCACCCACTGACTCCTCAATCTACATTGTCACTGACTGCCTGTCTTGTGTGCATACCAGCACAGCCTCTGGCTTTTTTACTTTTCATTCCACCCAGAAAGAGCACACATCAACTGCTGAAACTTCCTTAGCCTGACCAGGGGTTTTTGAACCCGAAAGCTTGCTTAAAAATTGTTCTCCAACTATTTAGTTGGTCTAATAAGATATCAGATTCACCCAAAGAACCTTGTCTACATGCATGTTTTGGCATTCAGGAATGTATAAAGAGGGAGCAAATGCATTTGTTTACCTGGCTATTGATAGCATTGTTTTCACCAAACACTAACCAGCCCCCAATACAGGCTGCCAAGAAGGAGTGAAACTGGAAGTTCTTTCCTTGTAGTCGGGATTGTAGTGCCATCAGACCCTTGTAAGTGAACACGAAGTAGGCCAGGTTTCTGGAATGAGTGTAAGTGGCCTGAGCGATTGTTTTCAATTTCTCTCTCAGACTGTACAAACAAAATAAACAACTGTTAGTAAAGGAGAAAGATGGCCATGGCACTATTCATGCTGCTTGTATGCATGAATCCTCTCTCATCCCGACCCTGTGTCCATTGTGTCTATTAAAAGTGTACGATTTTTGGGGCAGAGTCTCTCCTGTTCAGTTACAAAGGGCTCTTTTCTTGGTTAGTTCCTAGCACTACTGTAGTTCAAATTTGTAACCGGTTTTCGAAAAAGGCCCAGACAAAACAAGGCAAGAGAGTGAGCCCATTTCACTTCTAAGTCACTGCTCAGAATACAGTTAATATTGTATTTACACTGTGGGTATGCCCTGATTGTAGATAAATGACAGCCATTAGTGTAACTATATCAATGCAAACCTCTAGTGTAGACTAGTGCCAGTCTACTTTGAAAACAAGGTAAACTGCAGAGAGGCAAGCTGCACCATTCCTTGTCTATGCTGAGCTCTGTCCTGGTGGCTGGCCATCTGGCAGAATATACCTCTTGTAGATGAGGTCCAGATAAGCACTGGAACAGCAATATCCTAAGCTTCTCAAGCAACAAGTTGAATTGCAATGTGCATTCTAAAAAAGTGAGCTCCCCATTATGGTTAGCAAAATAAACAACTGATTTGGATGTGGCTGGTGTTTTCCCAGGTTCAGTCTTTTAAGGATGGATATATGTAAAACAAATCTCTCAACCTTATGGAGAATGTCCTTCAACAAGAATGCAAAAAGGGAAAAACTAATGTCTATACCTTCCACTCTTGAAGAGAAAAGTCATCACCAGAGCATGGGGTGCACGGATTTTTGCTCCATAGCTGAAGAAGAATTATATAGGATATGTAAAACATGAATACATACAAACATACCATGTTTCCAGAAAGGTTTTTTAAAAATTACTGTTGTTAATAGAACTCTTTATAGATTTTTAAAAAAATTACGATTATGTAAAGATTTGATTATAGTTAGAATTACCCTAATATTTATTTATTTATTTTTAGGTCAACACACTGATTGATAATTCTATCAGTAGGTATATAAAACTGTAGTGCATCCACACACAAAGAAATCAGAAGATAAATAAGACCCAGTATATTCAAAATGGGACTGAAAGACAAAAAGCCTCCAGCTAAGATGAGAAAGAATTCCTAGCGCTGAGCATGTGATGAAGACACTATTTTCTTTACAATAAATGCATAATATATCCAAATATATTACCCACTTATTGTCTCAAATATATTATATTGGATATAATATGTCCAAGACAATTACTCCCTCTCTGATCTCTCAGTTCTAATCCTCAAAGGGAACTTACAAAACACCTTTCAGAGAGGAGCCCACAAACTTCACTTCATAAATCTACTGGATACAAAAAAATCATGGACTCAGTATAAACATTGGATTTATGACACATTATAACCTGCCTGACATCTGATTCACCAGGTACCTGCCACACCTGACTTCTTACACTATTCTTTTCCCCCCTTCCTCCCCTCCTTTTCTGCCCTTTGTCTTCCTAATTTCCAGCTACAGGGGTGTAGGTTGTAGCTGTGCTGGTCTAAGGACATAGGCAGACAAGGTTTTTTGGGTAAAACTCAAATAGCTGGAAAAATTCTTCTTAGCAAGCTTTCGGGTTTAAATACCGTTCATCAGGTTGAGGAAGCATCTGCAGTTGGTATGTGCTCTTCCTGGATGGATTGAATAGTAAAGAAACCAGAGGCTGGTATGCATGCAAGAAAGGCAGTCAGTGAAGATGTAAACTGAGGAGTCAGTGGGTGAGAGAGAGGTTGGGGGGCTGGGGGATAGGGGAATGAATGCAGCTGGTACATAGTGGAGAGGTACCTGGGGAGTCAGATGTTAGGCAGTGTGTCATAAATCCAATGTCTATATTTAGTCCATGAATTTTTGTATCCAGGAAGTTGATGATGTGAAGTTCATAGACTTATCTGTGAAGAGTGTTTTGTAAATTCTCTTTGAGGATTAGAACTGAGAGATTGGAGAATGGTTTTCTACTGCAGGTAGCAGTGTTTGGGAGCAGGATGTACAGTGGAAGCCAAGATCACAGGGTGGTCACAGCATGGGGCCACCCCAAGACCTGGCCCCAGAGGCAGAGCCCCACCTGGCCATGGCCCTGAGATTGCCGGGCAGCGACAGTGCAGATTTAGGGCAGTGCTGCAATCTGTTCCCTTCGCGTCCCTGCCCATAGAACCGGGGCTCTGCCCCAGCCCCAACCCTGTGCTGTCACTGCCCTGCAATCCTGGGGTCTCCATAGAAACTGACCGGGAACAGCACATGTAGGGCGCGTGGACAGGTGGATGTGGTGGGCCTGCAAGCAGGCAGGGAGCTGTGGCTGGGGCCAGGTCCGGGATATTGGGGCAGTGACAATGTGGGGCTGTGGCAGAGCCACAATCTTCTCCCTTCATGACCCTGCCTGTGAAACCTGTGCCCTTTGTAGGGGGGTGTGGGTAGTGGACCACAGCTCTGCCCCAGCCCTGGCCCTGGTCCCATGCTCCTACCTCCCCGAGATCCTCTGGTCTTCCTGGCCTCATTCCAGCTGCCTGGCTGCGTGCTCCGTCTGCATGGGTCCTACCTCAGTGGCGGGTGCGGGGTGGATGGGCTGTGGTGCTTGGCTGTGGGGCCAGCGGCAGCTGTGGCCACCAGAAGAAGCCACCACTGCCAGGAAACGGAGCCTGGCTGCCATGCTGCCCCAGCCCCCACACATGGCCAGGGGCGGCAGGACCAGGCACACACACCATGGCTTGGGCTGCCCCCTGCGCTCAGGCCAGGTGGAACTGATGGACCCACCAGAAGCGAGACAAACTCCTTTGGTGGGCCAGATTTGGCCTGTGGGTTGTGTTTTGCCCACCCCCGCCACAAGTCTAGGCATCTTCCTGCTCAGTGGTTACTGGGGTTTTTTGTTTTGGTTTGAGGGTTTTTTTTGCAGATACCAGTCTGAGCTGAGACACTTAAGTCTCCTCATGGACTATTCAGGGAGTCTAGGAACCTCGTTTCAAGTGCTGATTTCTGCTCTGGGGGCCACATGTGTAAAAGTTAGGAACTGCAACACTCGACACTGAAGCATCAGAGTCTCTTTTTTGACTTGGGCCCAAGTAGCTTGCTGTCCATTCAAACAAGTTTGGCTTCAAGACTAGAAGGTTGCCATGATAGTTTATGGCCATGCAGTCAAGACCCTTCCCACCGACTCAAATACTTCAAACAAGCAGGAGTTGGGAAGTATTATGAATTTTCTTCTATAAAGGCCGTGGCAGACCTCACAAGTTAAGACATGATTAACAGTTAATCCCCTTAAAGAGCAAACTGACCACACAGTCAGGAGATTATTGGCACAATAAAACAGAAAACCCACTAAATTTTTTTTATATAAAATATGTGTAATAACTAGGGATCCTGGTTTTCCCTACCTTTTTTTTAAATAATAAATTCTCTAAGAAAAACCTCCAAATGTTATTAAAATTAATGGCCCCCCACGGCCCTGCTGGTGCCCCTCTTCCCCCCTGCCACTACAGCCTGGCCCCCCTTATGCCTCTTGTCCCCCCACCCACAGCACCTGCCCCCCCTCCCTGCCAGAGGGGGGCCCTCAGCTGCCAGGACTATAGCCAGGGACCCAGGTCTGCAGCTCTGCCCCCAACAGAAGGCAGCTGCAACGGAAGGAGCACAGAGCCAGTTCCCCCACTGCTGCTTGATGCGGGCAGGGGCAGGGCCGGCTCCTGGGGGGGCCGCACGCACTCTTGGGGGCAAGGGAGACTTGCACCCTCCAGATCTGTGCTGGGACAGGCTGTAGCCTTGAGCTCCCGCCCTGCTTCCCTCCTGCAGGGCCTCTGTAGCCATGACCCAGCATGGCTGGGAACAGCAGGGCTGCATGGGTTACTCTGATAAAGATGGGAAATCAGTGGTTTTCTCTGTTTTTCCGTGGGAAATGGAAAACCCGGATCCCTGGTAATAATGTTACAGCTGCTTCCATTGTACCTTAAATTTAATGTGTGGCAGGGACTGCCCTGGTGCTCAAGCCCTCAAGCAGTCCTGATCAAGTGATCCCGGTTAGGCTTGGGACTGCCCCAGAGCTATAGCCCAGGGCTATACCAATCTGCTGTGGGCTGGCAGGGATTTCATGGGATTCAATCCCTGGGGCAGTCCCTGCCAACTGATGATTAACTGACCGGGACAGTCTGGGGACTCAAGCCCTGAGGCAGTCCCAATCAACTGATCGTTGGCTGGCAGGGACTGATCCAGCACTTGAATCCAGGTGCAGTCCCTGCCAATCGACAGATTGATTGTAGACTGGAACAGTCCCAGGCCTGGAAAACCATGCAGTCCCAATTCTGCTGACAATCAGCTGATTATCAAGCACTCAACTTGCCAGTGTAGGGAGATCCCTGGATCATGACCCCAGGCTCCCTCTGCAGTGGCAATATGGCAAGACTGGGATCTGATGCCCAATTCCACAAGTGCACCTCCTGCCAAGCATTTGTGACATGGAACTGTGATTATTGGGATCACAGATCAGATCCCATCACTCCTTCCAATGAGGGTCTGCCAGGGGCCAAAGCCAGGGCCCCATTCTGCTTCTACTGAAGTCAACAGGAGCAGGTTTGGTTTCCACTCATTAGAAATGACTGTTTCTTCCTGATAATTTTTAAACCATCTGTACAACTATAGAGCCCAGGCTGTAGCGAATGCTGCTGGAATGCCCTTGCAAGGAACTGACTGAGATTTGCCATCAGCTGAAATATAAAAACCAGACTGATTTTTTTTAAATTCTCGGCCCGCGGCAGGCACCAGGGGCCGGGGCCCGAGCGCCCTGCTCCGCGGAGAGCGCCCCAGCCCCACTCGGACCCCCCGCCTCAGACACCCTGGGCCCGGGCAATGGCCCCAGGCGTCCGGCCGAGCCGGTCCTCCCTGGAAGTGATCCCGGCCCCAACGGCCCGCGGCGCCGGCCAGCCGGGCACTCACACGGCTCCGTTCCGGAAACCCTTGAGGGCCGCGAGCGCGGCGTGGTAGCGGCGCCGCTGCAGCAGGGAGTTGACGGTGTAGAGAAGGGTCCGCAGCAGCGCCCGAGCTCCCTCCATGGCTGGCCCTGGCCCGGGCCCGGGCCCGATGCCAGGCACGAGCGCCCTCACACAGCGCCCTCAGAAGCGCGCGCCGGCGACAGGAGTTCCGTGTTCGCCGGAGAGTCAGCGGCATGTCTCACCCTATTGGCCATCTCACCTGTCCATCAAACCTCCTGATTAATAGAAACCTCGAGCCTGCCCCTTCAAATAGAAAATCATCCTTTAATGTGGGGCGGGGTGGACGTTACTACGCTGCAACCAATCGTAGGCCTCTCTCTCTTCCTCCCTCCCCCCCACTTGGTTCCTATTGGCTGGAGCGCAAGGCAGAGCCTGTCCCGTAGTCGGTGCCGGTTTGAAGCTGTGGGGAGGCGGCGAGGTCCTGGCCCCGCTCTTAGGTGCAGCCACCAGTAGAGTCTCTTCCCACCGCCCCGGGGGAAGAACATGAGCTGCCCCATTCAATCAGATCTCGGCTCTGTCCGGGCTTGTCTCGTGTCCCCTTGATATTGCCCGGTACTAGCCGTCAGGGAAGGATGCTAGTAGCCTGCCTGGGAAGGAGTAGTACAGCATGCCCAGGGGAAACTCCAACCCCTAAGGGGGCTCCTTGGACTTAACGCTCAGGAAGAGTTTGCATCTCTTACCAAAAATCTAGTTTTAAATATGTGTTAGGTTTAAATCAGAATCATAGAGCAGAAGGAAGGCCTGATCATCTGGCCCATCCCCCTGTCAGAGACAGGATCATCTTTGTCTAAACTGGCCTATCCAAATCCATTGTCTAACCCAGGGGTGCTTAACCCCTGGCTGTGAACTGCACCCAGCCCGTGAGCCTTCCCAGGGTTGGGAAATTTGGAGGGGGGTGGGGATGGTGATAGCACTGCCATGCGTCTCCAGATACCAAATATCCACACCCTGTGTGGCTAGATGCAGCCCCATCTGTTGTCATGCAGCTATTTTGGGCCCAGGCTGTTGCCAGGCAGCTGGAGTGGACAGCTAAGTCTGGGCCTGCCTCACAAGGCTGGATCCTGGCTCTGCCAGGCTCAACTGTGCAACCAGTTTGAGCTTGGGCTGTTCCCACATGGCTGTATCAGGCCCCAGCTGCACCTGCCCCATGCATTGGATTGGGCCCATATAAGGAGCTGGCACCACCCATCTGGCCTGTGGGACAAAAAGTTGGGGCACCAGTGGTCTAAAACTGCATAGTGAATCCTGAGGCAGACAAGGTTCCTTAGGTGAATTTGATATCTTTTATTAGACCAACCCAAATGGTTGGAGAATAGTTATTAAGCAAGCTTTCGGGTTCAAAAACCCTTCGTCAGGCTCAGGAATCCTGACACAGTCATAAGACATAACACCTTAACCTGCTGCAGTTAAAGCAGGGAGACAACAGTGGCCAATGTCCTCCTGCTGCAAGGATTGTTGAAAGATCCAAGAAAGAGGGCTATACTTCCAACTACAGAAGAAGGCAACTCCCCTCTCCCTCCACAGTCTGTACCAACCTGACTGTTAGCGGGTGTTCCCAAAGCTGATAAAGTTTTTAAAAAAACTTTGACTTCCCGCATGGGTGTTTTCTCTCCTGCCATGACTTGATGGGAGTTAATTCAAACCACGACTTGCGGACAAACTCGATATTTCTTAATTACGGTCAGTCAGTCTTCTTATACCTCTTATTCTCTAATCCCTTCTTTATCAGGGTGCTTGCTTATTCTCCAAAACAGTGAAACCCATAGATAGACTATTAGGCAAAAAAAAACTCCAGGGGACCATGCCCTTACTGTGGACCTCCTTACTGGAGGACACAAAGGCTGGACTAATCATTAACAAGTCACCTTGGCAATTTGGGTCTTGGGCTTCCACCCTCCTTTTTTTTGTGCTACAAATAAATTGTCCCAGTCTATTTGTTACTCATCCAGAATTGGCCAACAGTTCATTAAAAAAAAAGTTTCTAATTAATTAAAGTCCATCTACCTGTTCCTGAGTGCAGACAGTCTGATCTCTAGTTGTGGCTTTACTTAGCCGCTTCTCAGAATATGCACAAGGGAGATTCCACTCCCTAGCTCCTTTTGTGCCTCCGCATGAATTCAGCTCTGTCGCTCTCTAGTCTCGGGCATCCAGATCTCTTCATTTGCCTTCTGGGGATTGGTACAGCAAAACGTCCTCTGGCACCAGTGGGTGATGTCATCGTCTCTGGTGTCCCTCCACTGCTCCAGTAGGTTTCTTTCCTTCTTTTAATTACAATAACAGGGTCACGGGCTCCCTTTTACACTGACCAAAAGGTAAAATCCCTTCCTGACTCCAAATATGGAAAGCAATCTGACCCTGAACTGAGGGGCAAGACCCCCTAGACAGAAATCTCTAGGTTTAACTCTCTGCAGGAGCATAGGCACACCCTAGTCAAAATTCCCAGCCTTGGTTGAAGCCAATACCCAATACCCAATGCTTCTAGGGAAGGTGGGGGTGGAAACCCCCCCCCCCCCCCCCCCCCCCGTGCAAACACAAGGGGGGGGGGGGGTGCCCGCCGAGGGGAGGATTCCTTCCCAGCTTTTGTGGCAACCAGCAAAGCCCAGAAGCATGGGAAATATCCATAACAGAGTATAGATACAGCTCCTTTCAGATCATCCCTGACCAGGAGAAGAAGTCATTCTGGCTATCCAATCGTAACCTACTTAAACCTACTTTGCTGTAGCTTCAAACCATGGATCCACACCCTGTTCTCTACAACAAAAATGCAGAATGTACAGTTTTTAATTATCTAAGCATCCCCTTGTTCTTGCACAGAGAAGGATTAAACAGGAACGCTTGATTTACCTTCATCACTGTGCACATTTAGAAGTAAAATAGATTAAGGAGCACATGCCAATTATTCATCTCCTCTAAGTAGTTCCAGTGTCTTTCAGTCACTTTTCATCTGAAACCTTTTTTTCCTATATCCCTAATAATTTTTACTGCATGTCTCTTTACTCCTTTGATTAAATCCAGTAATGGAGTCCTGTTTAGGACTGGTCAACATAGTGAGAGGTGAAAATAGCCTTTTCTTCAGGGGGAGCCAATTCACTGACCAGTATCAGACTATTCTATCAGGTGGGCTTTGCTGTAACTGGTTGTCATGAAGTCCCCCTCTGGTGGGTGTTCGCTCAGGGCCCCTGTGACCTTGTATGGTCTTTGGAAGTACCCCCTGAAGGCATCACTTCTAGAGTATCAGGGGAACCTGCCTCCTTCTCACTCTGATACCCTCTTCTTTTGGTCCCTCCCCTTTCCTGGATATCTGTAGCCCCAACTAAAAGAGCTAGTTCAGTTTTTCCATTACTTAACTTTCAATAATTAATTCATTACAAACATCTTTACACAAAAGAATAACTAATTAAAGATTCTATGTTTTATGTCAGGGGTCCTCAAGCCCCATCCCACAAGCCAAATGCAGCCTGTTGAACCATGGCATCTGGCCTGTAGGACTCCCCATCAGCTGGGAAATTTTGTGGTGAGGGAGTAGTGGTAATTAAAATTGCCACAATTGCACCATTGCCAAAGTCCTGCATGGGCAGATTGGGTCTGAGCCAGGCTGTTGCCATACAGCCAGATTGGACCCAGACTGTTGGTACACAGCTAGATTGGGACCCTGCTGCACCCACCCCACAAGCGGGATCAGGCTTACTGGCTGGATCTAGCCTGCCAGCAGATCCGGCACAGCCCATCCAGGGCAAAAAGTTTGGGCACCACTGTTTTATCAAGTATCTCTTTTGTAGATCTCTCAATGCAGCACAGAGACATCTAGTGACTGAACAGTATAACTGAAAATAGACATCATTAGATCTGTAGTAGGCAACCATTGATCCTCTCAGTCATGGTGTACACAGTAAGAGGTCTAGTCAGATGCCTGATGAATCTGTGTTGCTGACAAGCCCAATTCGAGAGTGACTATAAACATCCATGAGAGATTGGATCTTCTGTACGTACACCCTTCAGACTAGACAGTTTGACTCTAGTGGCAAAATGCTATGGTGCAATGTGAGGTAGTATGCCTAATTGTAGTTTTATAAAGGTATAGCTTTTCCACCTCTTTCAGGATTAGGTCACCAACAATAACAAGATTTCAATTACCAGTTTATTTTAGTGGTGATCCCGATTCTCTCCTGCCATACCTTTGATGGAAATATATATATATATTTTTTAATTGGGAAGGATGGATTTAGACACCACTGTATAACCTGAATATGTTAATTTATCTTGTAGCACTGAACTCTTGAAACTTTCCTCCAAGTCTATGGAAATTCTGCAATTCTTATTATAAAAACTCAGTGATCAATTTTTTCTTTTAACTGTCTTAACTGTCTTGTGTTATTTAAATTACATAACAAAAATTTTTTTTTTTTTAAGTAGTTTGGAATTTTTTTCTCCAATTCCTAACACATAGCTTCTTTAGGCTCTGGTAACTACAAGGCCCAGTCTTTAAAAAAAACAGGATAAACAACCAAAACGAGAAGAAACCCTATTCAAATGATGTTGCTCAGTACGCTCATTTCTTAGGGATACATCTATCAAATAATGAAAGTCTTTCCGACGTCTCTCCTGACTATCTGTGTCAGGGCTTCAATTTTTAGAGTCTGCAGTGTTCACGATTCTCCAACTCACTTCTGGTTATTTTGTTTTTCTTAACATAAAACGTACACAAAAAATTTTACTTGTTTCTGCAGGGCTCCCATGTTCTCCATATAGTTATCCTAGTTGTCCCTCGTTTTACATCAATGTGTCTTCAGCTGGAGCCTCTCTCTGACCAATAAGACTCCTCTTAGTCTCCTAGCCAGCTGCCTGTCAGCACTCCATCACTCCAAGCATCCCACATGCTCCCTTGGGCTTCTCTCTCCACTGCATCACTCTTCTCACCTTCATCCAGGTCTCTCCTCATCTCCGCCTTTCTCTGGGGCTGTTCTAACTTCACGGAGCAGTAACTCGGAAGTGTGGCTCCCAGCGAACTATACTCTCCTTCGCTGGCTCCTGCCCACTCTCGGGCAGCATTGGAATTGTCCTCTTCTCTTCCTCACATGCAAATACTCTTTTTCACCCACCATGCTTGATGTTTCAATACCAAAGAGGAGGAAGGTTTTTAATTCCTATGCACTGGGATTTTGCTCAGTCACATGA